GGGGTCGCCTGACGTCCAGGCCCCAGAGTACTCGCAGGTGGTGGCCCAAGGAGCCAGACGAAGGAGAGGGCCGCGGGTGGCGTGGTGTGGAGCGGCCCGGGCACCGCATGCGCCTACTTCATGCCGCTGCGCAGCACCTGGTTGGCCGCAATGAGCATGACGCTGATGATGAAGGCGATGGCGAAGGCGCCGATCAGACCCTTGCGCACACACGTCTGGCGGATCTGCTGGTTGGAGCAGGCTGTGGCCACCCACCGCGAGACGCACGCCGCACTCTGGTTGGAGCAGGCTGTGGCCACCCACCTGGAGCATCAGGCAGCAGGGAGAGACAGAGAGGACAGCAAAGCGATGGAATCAGGAGCTGCCTGCGTGTGGGCACATGGGCTCATCCCACAGAAGCCTCAGGGGCAGGCGAGGAGGCCCCAGTCCCCTCTGCAGACCCCTGCTATGTCTCCCTGCATGCAGCCGAGCCTGCCCGTGCGCTTCCAGGGTCCTGTCACTCACTCTCCACGTCCACGGGACACTCCTCGGCCGTGCCTAGGTGGCTCTCTTCCTCGGTCATGATGATGTTCTCGATGTCCTTCATGGACAGGTGCTCACAGAAGGTGTCGTAGAGCAGCCTCTTCAGCTCATCCACAGTCAGCTTCTGCATGTCGCACTTGGGAGTGGGAGACATGGTGCTCTGGCCACCACCACCACCACAGTCCCCACCCAGTACCCTGCAGCCACATGGGTCAGTGAGAGGTCTCCAGATTCTACAGGGCCGGAAACCACTCACCCCATTTCCCTAGTCCTTGACCAACTCCAGCCTCCCCAGGAGCCCATGGCGCCAGTGGACAGAAGCCTGAAGTGGTCGTCTCCCCTTTACAGTGTGGCCCCAGCCATTCTCTGGCCCCAGCTCTCTCTAGGGCATACACAGCATGGTTCCCAACTAGCCAGGGCATACCTTCCAGAAGACAGTGTCAAAGTCAGTGCCATGGAACTTCTCTGGGATCCCTGAGGTGGAGAGCTTGGGTCCCAGGAGGGTCACAAACTCCTCAAAGTCCACTTGGCCATCACCTAAAATGGGCACAAGTCCAGTCAGCGGGTAAGGCCGAAACCTGGCCTGGGCAGGGAGCCCAGGGCCCAAAGACCTGGGTTGAGTGCCAGCCCACTTTGGGCCTCCCGTGTGACCTCGAACATCCTCCTCTCTGAGCCTTGAGTCAGTTTCAGGGGCACCTGGCATCTGGGCTGACGTGAGCCCTGTCAGGGAAGATGGAGGTGGAGAGCAGCGGGTGGGCTGAGCTTGGCTGGCTCGGGGAGACCCTCCCATTCTGCTCAGAATCCCCACGTGGCTTCTAGCACCTGCTGATGTTCCATACAGACAGGAAATGAAGCTCAGGAGGGGGCAGCCTGCACAGGCTCTCACCTGCTGTCTAGATGGGAGGACGCCACAGGTGGAGCGCATGCAGGAGACGGTATTACTCGTCCTCCTTGTGGATTTTTCCCTAATAAAGTGCCCGGTGGCAAGTACAACCAAACGAATGATTTTATCTGGGGTAGTGGGGACTAGAGTGTGTACTGTATTCTTTCTACTTCTCTGTATGTTAAAATTTCTCAGAATATGGGGTGAAGGGAGTAGTCTGACTGCGTGTGTGGCTAGGGCTATCACAGCCTGTTGGACTCAGTTCTCCAGGCTGAATAATGGGGCCAGGCCAGGCTGCAACCTGCCATGGGTTTCGGGGGGGGGGGCTTCAGAGTAGGGGGAGTGAGAAGCCCAAGCCCACCTCATTGGCTCAGGGCCCAGCCCCAGCCCACCCCCAAGGCCCAGGCAATGGTGCTCACCATCCATGTCCAGTCGCTGGATAATGACCTCCAGCTCCACCTCGTTGGGCATGTAGCCCAGGGAGCGCATGGCCGTGCCCAGCTCCTGCTTAGAGATGAAGCCATTGCCGTCGCGGTCAAACACCTTGAAGGCCTCGCGGATCTCTGTGGGGGGAGCAGAGCAGACTGGGACCTCACCTCCCTTTCCAGACCCCAGGGTTCCCTAGCCCACAGCCTGAGAATCTCCACCCAGAACCTGCAGATCTGGTAGAGGTGATCGTGATGTTCCAGTGGCCTAAGAGCATGCTCCTGGTGCGGCGTCCTGGGACCTCTGGGCCAGCGGAGCGGGCAGCAAAGGTGTGCCCAGGACATGACAGCGACCGCTTTCGGGGTCTAAGCATGCCAGGCTCTGACAGCCTCTCCCGGTGTGCTCACGATGACCCCGTGTGGCGGGTACCATGTGCGGAGGGCGCTGGGGCTCACAGGCAGGCTGGTGGCTGTGAAGGCTCTCCCCCCACCCACACTACCCTATTCTCTCCCCTGGCCACGTGAGGCAGCCATGGCTCCTGCTCCCTGTAACGGGCTGACGATCTGATAGGCATACCCTGGGGGGAAGACAGGTGGGATGGAGGGGGCCAGAACAAATGTGAGGTCACCCTGCATTGCACAGAGGCTAAGGACCTAGGTGCCTCAGGGGTGGGGAGCGATGCACTGGGCTGGGAACAAGTAACTCACAGTATGACCTTGGGTCAGCCTCAGTCTTATTCACATAAAATGGGTGGCATAGTGTGGGGACAACAAGGGTTTACCAAAGATAGCCAGGCACTCTCCAGGGGTCCTAACCTCCTACTTCTCTATTTCTGTGTCTCTGCAGCTGTCCCTTAATCTTCATGACCCCAGCAGGGCCCTAAGGAGCATTTTCCTTTGGGAACAGGGAGATTTCAGTCCATTAGCTCCAGCTGCCTGGGGGTCTCCTTGCTCAGATGCCAGCCTCCTGGCCTCTCCCTAAGCTCTTCCCTGGGCAGGATTTCAGCAGATGAGAGGGGAGATGGCCAGCCCATAGTCAGTGTGGGGTCAGGGCTGTCACTGCCAGTCAGGCTGGCCCAAGCTTTGCCTGAACAGGTCTGTGAACCCTGGAACTGCTCATAAGACCCTACACCATGGGGTCATTCCCCAGTATCAGGGGCCAGGAGAACCCAGTCTAGCCTGTTGGCCCCACCACAGACTATGGGCTGTAGCTCAGAGAGGTTGGCTGTGTGTTCCAGGCCACACAGCGAGGTGGCTTGGGCCGAGACCCCCAGCCCTCATCAGCTTCTACCCACTAGTGTCCACACCCAAGGCCTGCTGGTCAGACCAGCTCCCAGGCAGGCCACACAAACAGCAGACTACACTGAGGTTACCTGGGCTCCAGACCCTCTGACTATATCTGCCCTCCACCCCAACCCAGCCAGGCAGGTCCTGGGAATCTAGTCTCCTAACAGTGGTCTCAAGGCCAGGAAGCAGTTGGGCCAGAAGGTCTGGGCCAGGCCCTGGGCATTTCTGCGAACCTTAAACTCTGGGAAGTTCAGGCCAACTCATAGCTAGTTTTCCTGCCACTGAAGAGCTGGTATGCTCCCCATCCCTGGAGATGTGTGAGCAGGGCCTGGCAGCCATGCAGGCTGCTGTGGGTACTGCACTCACCTAGGAGTCTCTGGGTAGAGAGAGCCCCACATGCACACGTGCACACACACACACACACACACACACACAGATGTCTTGACCTCCAGCCATGCTGGGGGGAAGGGGCCTGTCTGCCCGAGTGGGCACCAGGATTGCTCCATCTCTGCCTTGGAAACATGTGGCTCCTTTTGCCTGGAATGCTCTCCCCTCACCATGGCGAGCTCTGAGCAAACCCGTTTTTCAGCGCGGATGCACCATCTCCCTGGTGCCCTCCTTGCTCAGACTGACTCTGGCCCTCCTCTGGGCCCCTACTGATCCTAGTCTTCCCACACCCTTCACTGACCACACTGGACAGTGAGCTGAGGGCCGTGAGAGCAGGGAGCAGCGCAGTCTTGTTCACGGCAATGTCTCCGTTACCTGGAACGAGGCCTGTCACTCACGCTGAATGAACGATTCATTGAACAAATGGGGAACCCACCCATCTGGAGCACACAGAGAAGTTCTCTGAACAGAAGTTCATGGACCACTCTCTGTGAGGCCATATACTCAGAGCCCAAGAACAATCAGGAAAGGGAAGCATTCGCTTCCCACTCCCCAAGCAGCCAAGAAGTGAGAGAGGAGGGTCCCCTTGTCCGGACCCCGCACCCACCTACTCTATAGGCTTTCCACAGACAAGGGAAATGAAGCTGAAGGTGGCGGGGGTGGAGGGGAAGCCTCAGGGTCAGGGGCTGGTTTAGGGAATGGGCTCCTTGTTTTCCCCCTCTGTAAGAGGCCCATGTGGGAGATCGCAGGGTGGGGTGGCAAAGTCCTGAGCTCTCAGTGCTGTGCACCGAGGTCCGGGCTACCCCTTCCAGAAGGTCTGTTTCAACGAGACCCCTGACCCGCTTTGCCAGAGGCCCTGAGGAATTACACTGGGCCAGCGGGCCAGTAGGCGATAGGCTCTAAGGTAGCTCTGCGAGCCCTGCAGCCATTTCTCAGCAAAGCGACCCTGTCAGGGCCACGAGGTGAAACCGCAGTCTGCCGCCTCCCAGTTCATGTGTCCCTTTGACCTCTGCTTGGGATGCCTGGCTCACACCATGAAATCTTGCTCCCAGCCTTTGCCTGTGCTGGGATCCCGGCCCCAGCCCAGCTGCCTCCCATCCACCCAAGGAGGCACAAACTTCTTGACCAGGGAGGCCCAGGTTCAAATCCCAGCTCTCTGACGTCCTGGCTAGGTGACCTTGAGCAGGTGTTTGCTCACCTGTACAATGGGGCTGCTGAAATGATTAAGCAAGAAAGTGAAGCATGTGTTTGGCCAGGCCCCGCTCCGAGATGGACACTGTAAATCAGAACGTCCCTGATGGCAGAGCCAGAAGAAGAGGGAGGGCTGGGTGAACTCAGGACGCCAGGCTGCCTTTCCTGTGTTAATGCAGGGACTAGAGTCCTAGGCCCCGAGTCTGACTCTGCACTCAGCAGCCGGGTGACCTGAGCAAGGCAGACCCCTCTCTGAGCCTCAGGTGCCTCATCTGTGAAATGGGGACAAGACTCCCGCACTTTTGCCAAGGCCTGACTGCTGCTGGGGGCTCCCTGAGTGGGCTGCATGTCACAACTCCCTGGCACTGTCATTGCTCATGCCATCAGCACATCACTGGGTGCATTTCCCCGAAAGCCTGCTTTCCCCTCCCATGTGGCCAGGGGAAGCCTGCTGTGCTCCATCTTGGCATGGGGATGCCTGGCCCGGGAATGGGCTGGCAGGGCCACCAGGTTTCCAGGCTGACGCTGTCCCCCACCTACTGACTCTAGTCTGACACTCCCCCCGATCCCTGTCCCAACCTTTAGAGCTGCATCAGAATCTGAGTCCCCAGCAAGCCCCAAGGGTTGCCAGCACTGTCACAGTCCAGAGGGGAGCACAGACTGGAGGTCACTAGAGGGGGGTGGCATTGGTCCTCTGCAGGGGCTGCCACTCTCCGCGGCGTTGGCCCCATGCCCTGCCACTCAGCCTCCCTGAGTTTTCAGGATGGCTGTTGGGGTTGCCGGGAAGAGGGGTAGGAAAGGGAACTCCCTGGCCACCCCCTGCCTTGAAGGTCCCCATTTGGCCACTCTCAAGGCAGGCTCTGCTGTCGGACCGGGCAGGCCAGGCGTCAGCCTAGAATTCTGCTGTGGTCTGCCTGTCACCTTCCTCCTCTCTCTGGCCAGAAGGGCTAGGGTACAGGTGCCCTGTTCCCCCCTTGGGTGCTCTAATCTTCTGATACCACTGGGTCCAGCCACATTGTCTCTGGGAGACTCTGCTGTGTGTCTATTGGGGAGTGGGTGCTTCCCAGCCATGGGGTGGGAGGATGTGTACAGAGCCAGTGCCTCTCCTTCACAGGGGCTGCGTGGGCCTCAGGCCTGTTCTGCCCAGCCACATCCCTACCCTACCAACTGCCATCGATGGCTCTCCCCAGGGCCCTGGGTCCCAAGTGTCTCTGCCAGACCTTCCAGGCCCTTTCCATCCAGTCCGTCCAGCCTTCTGGTGCTTCTGGCCCAGCCCGTGGCACACCCTGCATCCCTGCCTCGCGGCCCTACACCCTCCAGGCTCTCACCCTTCAGGGCCCTCTCTTCAGCCTCCCCTGCTCCTACATCTGGACTCCCCAACTCCCACTGCCAGGCTCTGTACGTCACTGCATCCTCTGTCACCAGTAGCTGTGGAGAAGGCAGTGCCATTCCCCTTTTACAGATGGGGAAACTGAGGCTCAAAGAGCCAAGTGATTATCCAAGGTCAGTTCATGAGCCGAGGGTGCAGAGACTCAAACCCAGCACAGCCTCTCTGGGAAGCCCTCATCTTCAACCTTGCACTCCCACCCCACTTCCTAGTCCTCCTCCCACTCAGACTAACCGCCCCCTGGACTTCTGCGGCAGGCACGTACTGTCTGCGGCATATCATCCCAGGCTGCCCGGGGCCTCTGTCTGGCACATGTGCCTCTCCCACCCATGGCTTCCACCCAGCAAAGAGCCTGGGTCCCACCCAGACTGCCTTGAGGCAGGAGCACTAATGGGCACTAGAGAGGCAGAGTGGGCAGGGGGCGATCTGCACCAGGAAGGCTACTCTCTACACCCAGCCCTGCCATTCCAGCACCACTGCAAAGGGCCTGTGGTCCACAGAGGGCTTTTGTGGGGCCTGCAGCCAGAAAGAGGGTTCGTCACGGAGGGTTTCTTGCCTTCATTTGTAGTTGCCTACAGGCCAAGAGATTGGAGCCACCCAGGCACCAATCCCCACTCTGCCTACCCCAGGGAGGGCTCTGCCCTTCAGATGCCCCCTGAGCCAGGGCCCCTCTGCTCCCCAGGGCGCAGGAGAAGGGACAGGAGAGAAGCAGGGAGTACATTTGGTGTGCTGGTGACTAACGCCACTGGGCTCTTGCCAGCATGTCCGCTGGACAGCCCAAGGGGAGCCTGCGGCCTCCTTGCCCCTGTGCTGCCCAGCTTGTGCCCCACTGGCCCCTGCATCCCAGCTCTCTCAGCTTCTCCCCTCCCTCAGGGTATGCTACCGGACTGGGGGATCAGGAGAGAGGGAACCCAGCAAGGCCTGGAGCTGGGGAGCCAGGGTCATGGTGGAGGTATGGGGAGCCTGGGGAATGAGGCGCAAGCTGCTTGAGGTCGGGACGTGTTGACCTCTGCGGGTGACCAAGAGGAAGGGACGGGTGAGTCTCTAGAGCTGGAAATTGGCAGGAGGTCTGGGACCAGGGCAGAGGGGACGAAGGTGGGGAAAAGATGGCCTGTTCCCCCTTTCCCTGTCCTCTTACCCCATGGTACCCTCTCCTTTTCTCAGGTCCTGGAGAAGTCTCCAGGGTGGGACTTGGGTTTGGGGGCGAATGGTGACATCGGGTCAGGGGCACCAGCCCCCATCCATCTGTCCTGCCCGCATCAGACCCCAGATCCAATGGCTCTCCCAGGATGCGTGGGTTCCCGGGGCAGTCAGCGAGGGGCAGGCGGCTGGTGGCCTGCGGTGCAGTGAGTGTGGTGACAGCTCCTCTTTAGATCCCTGTCCAACTGCCCCAGAATCTGCCCCACCTGGACTTGAGGGTGAGGCAGGACCTCCCTCCATGGCTTCTTCTCCAGACTCCCACCATCATCCCCGACTGTGCTGGTTTCTTGGCTGCACCCCCAATTACCCTCATCACCCCGATATCAGAGCCCCCGAGCCCAAGGTACCCAGAGGACGGGCCCATTCTCTGGTGAGCTCAACCCCTCCCCCAACAGCAGACAAGCAGATCCCAGGAGACCAAGACGCCCATCAGCCCAGAGCCCCCCACTCCATTCCATATGGGCCCCCAGGAGGTCTGGGGGAGGGGAAGCCTGAGCACTTCCCCCCAGCTCAGCCTGGAAAGAGCTGGGCAGGCCCTAGGGGTCTCACTGCCCCAGTCATACTCTGTGGGGGACCCCAGCCGCTGCCCTCCGCTCTGCTCTCGCCTAGCCAACAGCCTGCAGCCCCCATGAATGTTGAAAGGCAGAGGGACTGAGGTGGGGGACAGGTTTAGGTCCTGGCCCCTCTGCTTTCCCTTCCAGGCTTGGCTATCGCGACCGAGCCGCCCAATCTGGCCACTTGTTGTCGCCACCGCCTCCTGAGCCGTCTTCCTGGCGCTCCAGGCTGGGGGGTCCCCGCAGGGTTGCGGGGAAGGGGTTCAAGCCGGCTGCAAGAAGGGATAGGTACGGCCCGCAGCGGGCTAGAGCAGGGCAGTCGCCCTCTCCCCTTCTCCCGCTGCCCGAGCAGATTGGATTTTTAAAGCGACACGAGCGGAATGTCAATGTGAGCGCAGAGCCACGGGCGGGCGCCGCGGAGGGGATCAGGATGCGGGTGCTCCGGCGAGGCGGGTGTGGGGGGCGCAGCTCGGACCCCTACCCAGCCCGCTGCGTTGCCGCACCGTCACCGCCGGCTGCGCGGCCCCGTGACCCCGCTGCGGGGCCCAGCAAGTTTCCGCAGCGCGGGGGGCCACGCGGGCACGGTTTGGGCCACCCCTCCGCTTTGGCTACCCCCACAGCAGCACCCAGGGGTGTGGGCTAGTCCTGCCTCCTCGCGCAGCTGCTCGCTGGGGCGCCCACCTGGCAGCCGGCACCTGCGGAGAGCCCCCCGCCCCCTGCGCCCCTAGCACGCGCTTCACCTGGGCGCACAGGTAGGAGGGCCGGCGGACGGGGGTCCAGACGGGGCACTCACCCTCCAGCTCGTCCTCCGGAATGTCCACCGGGCGCTGCTCCGACAGCAGGTTAGGGACGGTGTAGATGCCCCGGTACATCAACGCCGCGGTCACCGGGTGGAACGGCATCTTGGAGGCTCCGCGCCCGCCCGCCCGCCGCAAACTTTGAGGCCGG